CAGAAGGACATCAAAACGGGGCACAGATGCAAATTAAATATAGCTCCTCTTTTGGGACAGCCCAGCCAGCCAACTAGCTGGCAGCAACAACCAACCTATCTAATCTACCTTAGACTTGTCCTGGACCTCGACTCCGCGCAAGCAACCTTGGCGAACCTGCATCACATCACGGGCACCCCAGCTAGTACTGAGCCATCGACGTATTGGAGTTGGCGTTGGTATGGGTCAAGGCCATTACTACACTCGTGATGAACCAGCCCAAGACCCCCTACTGCGAGTTACTGCTACTACTGTATGTAAAGAGACAGCGATCGGGCCTCTTGGTGTAATGATCGTTGATATCGATTCTGGAGCTGCTTGGTTCGGTTTTTGAAGGAAAGATAGTGTGCCGCAACTTAATTACCTGAGTTAGTTAGTTACTCCCCACCTATTTCATAAGCAGCGGGAAACCCTCATTAAGGTTAGGTATATATCTCTGCCTCGATGATTGGGGAAATGATGGGCGTTTTCAATCGCCGAATTGGCTCGGCGATGTACGTAACCTTTTAGCCTGTTAAATATTTACCGGGGAGCCGGCTTACCACTGATGACGATGATGCCACGACTTAAAATAGGAGATATGTGTGCATACGTGTCAATGGCGACAGCATGCTTACAAGTTAATTACCTAGCGATTGGAAGTAAGCCTGGAGCGAGGGTGCAAAAATTAGCAGCAATTTAGGCACCTGATCATCTTCTGATTTGCATACTTCCCGGGAAATCCGACAACGGGTCCCGCGAGAGCTTGTTCAATAAACTTTCGAGATTGCGTGAGAAGGAGCGAAATCGGGTGTTCGCTGAGAATGAGAGCGACTTCGGATCTGCCCCATGCAGTTGTGAGGAAACTTAGGTAACAACTGTGAAGTTTGGTTGATCTCAGACGGCGAAGATCACATCATGATGCCAGCGTGACAGTGAAGAAATTTCAATCGATTGAGTAATTGGGGCCGAATGCGAGTGAGGGATGCGCACCATCCCCGCAATTGATTTGCGGCGGGTTTTCATGCAGCTCCAGTGCGGTTCTGTGCACTGTGGAGGAACTCGCGCCGGTTTTCCGGGTCGGATTTCAAACACCAGGACAGAACTGCGTGGAGAAGCAATTCGATGGCTCGATTCCCGTTGTCTAAGCGATTGCAGAGGAACTCACAATCCTCATGGAGATGGTCTCCCAAGAGGCAATTGGAAAGCGAGATTCACTTGGTGGGGTTAAATTTCTCCACGGAAAAACGGCTCTAATGTGAACCACTCGATCTTTAGTCGATCACCGAGTGCAAGTGCGGAGAAGCATGGGGATTGCTCTCGTCGGGCTTTGAAGCTTCATCCTTACTATTAGCGCTGTGACCTGGGCTGAGTTGCAGAGACTACGTACTCGAGTAGTACCCCGTGCCTGGGTTAGGTACCTGATAGGTATAGGCGCTCTCAACCTGCCTGGCATTGCCGTCCCGGATGACAACTGACAGTGCGCTGTGTTACCTGCGCACGCAATGTGCCAATTGAACGGCATAGGCGGGCGCCCAGCCTCTCTCACAAGCCCCAGATGTTGCGAGATTCATCATAATGGCGGGGGAATGCGGTTCTGCCGCTGAATTCATGGATCGAAAGATCTATATCCTCATTTGGGCGACTGTGGGGAGATCCCCAAAATTTCCCAATTCAAATCGGATCCGACTGAGAGAGAGCTCTCGCTTGTTTGCTTGACTCAGCTTGTTCGCAGAAGTTCGTCGCAGCTCGGCTTGGTTGGTGGTGTTTCAGCTACCAAGTACCACGTTGCAGAGCTTCTGTGGTAATGGGCTTGTCGTACACACCCTGGAGGAGTCGAGATGTTCTCGACGAGTTTACCGGAAACCAATTGGAGAGAGCGAGGAACCCCAGTGGTAAGGTGCGTAATCTCTTTACCTGGGGACGGAAATAGGCCCCGATGATTTGTCATCGCCTCGAGCACAAGGAACAGAAATCTTGGAGAGATAAAGTCGATGTGGGCGGCGCAAACCGACCATTCAATTGACGTGATCGGAGCCCGTGGCTTCCCAGGCCCAACTCCTCCCAAATACTACAAGAATCCGTACCAAGTTCCAAGTTCCAGTGCGAGATCGGTGATCACTCAATTTCAAGGCGAAAATCGCAACTTCCGAAGTGATCAGGTTTATCAGATCCAGCACAAAATGACATCCCCACAATACGAACTAGTTGTGGTTAGTAAAATTCGGCAAAATGCGGGAAATACAGCCCGCGTAAGCAGGATTCTGCCCTTGACTGCGAGAATTCCTCGGATCTCGAGCACCCAGGAATCTGTCAGCGCTAGTCGAGTTGGACACTGCCTTGTGTGCCGCTATCCGACCATCGGTACCTGCGTGAGTCGCCAGTCGTGACTCCATAACTGCGGTCCAGCAACCAGTGTGAGGGAACTTGGGGCTGTGAATGCGGGGTGGCGACCGTCTCTGCCAAGAGCTTGATTGCTGGCACTTTTGGCCGTCCTTCGGCAGTCGGCCCGGCATCTGGCAGGAAGACTCGTCGTTTTGCATGTTTCGTTAGCTGTTTACAACGGAGGCAGAAAAGAAATGAAGGACTCTGTGGCCTGTGATGCAGAGTCGACGTATGCGACTGCGGAGGGGTTGCAGGAACTTCGGGGCCGCGCTGGTCGCGACTCGTGTCCTCGCTCCTCAGCTGTGGCTTGCTGCCCGGCTGTCTCGTGAGGCGTATCTTTCCTGCGCCTCGGGGGTGATGCTTCTTGGGCCGCGTCACGATATCTCCGTATTTGCAGGCTGCCGCGGCCAGCGCCTCGACCCTGGTGAAGGATAACGGGGATGAAGCAGATGGTCTCCAGACCCTATCAAGGCTTGAATGCGACACCTGCTGATCATGCGATTTCACCCTATCAGTTCGCGGGGAGTCGCCCGAGACTGCCAAATCTAGTGGAGAATGCCATCCCTTCTCTCGCCTTGGATAGCTCGATTTTTAGGCCTTAATAGCCTGAGATAGGAGATGCCGATTTTTTTGGTCGTTTGAGCCTTGATGTCGCACGCACGATCGACCAGCAGGAAGGGTCCGAACACAGGCAAGCCGTCCGGGAACAGTCAGGACCAAGTTTTCCGTGCCTCAACAAGCCTGTCTGTGCCGTAATAAGATTAGGTTATATGTTTACTCTAGATGATCGTCCTGTTTTTCGCAGAGTTCCAGCTGGTACCATGATCTTACCGCCAGATTCGCAATTCTGGCCGGTGTTGATTGATGAGATGGACCCCTCGGGGTTATTTATGATCGGCCACTAGAAAGAGCAGCTGAGACGGCTTGCATGCTGTCCGGGCGCTTGGATCCTGTAACTAGCTATCGCTGGCTGTTGAATAATACTTGAAATCCAGGTTAATTAAACGAAACTTGCAATTTTGCCCTCTCCCTTGCGTTGCCCGTGAGTTCTTTTAGGTAAACCGCACCAGGAGCTTTGAGGGGGAGATCTTCAGGTTGGCGGCTGGCTGAACTTGCAAGTTCCCCGGAATCCGAATGCGGCGCGTCATTTGCCTTGCTGGGTATACTTACGCGCGCCTGGTTACATTTCCGTTTCTTGTGCCTTGAGAGAACGTACTCTGCGACTTTGCCAGCATGCCAAACGCCAGCAAGAAAGCGGGACGTGGAGCTCAACGCCGAGAGCGGAGGCCAATTTCCGAATGGGGCCCCCCTTGCGATCCCCAAGGTCCTCCTTCTCTCCTTTTGGGGCGTGCGGTCTGCGCACTGTGGCCTGAAGGTCGAACGTCGGCACAGACCTTGATGAAACGGTGCAGCTCAACCCCCGTCTGTGCCTTGAATACTGCAGCTGTATTGACAGGGCTGGAACTTAAAAAAGGCCGATAATTATGCGGTTGGATAAGCAGACTCGAGATCCCTAATTTGGATGATCGTGAATAATCATATGAGTTCCAGGACTAGTACAGTGTATACTCCTAACTCGTATACTCTGTCCACTCCGCGCAGTACGGGCCTGTGACAGCCGGGATCCTCCACGGCTGTTTGCCGAGCAAGCGCCGAGTTTTCAGCGCCACCGACGTCCCAGTTGTCAGGCAGGTGCCAGACCGCATTCTTTGCCGCCATTGTCCAAGAAAAAATGAATAATACCCAAAGAAGAGGATCCACGGTTACCTTTGAAGACCACCCGGAGCCTGTCTGCCTGTGACTCATGAGGCTGATGCAATCCTTGTGTCTCCTCCGTATTGGGCTCCCTCCCCCGCAATCCGCATGCCTCCCGGGATATTATCGTGGCTGCCAATTCACCCTCCGCATGATGAGTGATGAGGTATTGGATCTCGTCATCGTATGACTTTTTGTGTCGGCGCATCGCCCAGTCTGGTCAACGTTGCCTCAGGGTTCCCATTGGGCTTGCGTGCCCGCCCTGCTGGGTTTTCTTCGGTTTGTCAACCAACCATCGGCGGTGGATCGACAAGTCTCGATTAGGCTGGCTCCGAATCCTATCAATCGACGCATTCCCCGTGGTGCCCCAGATAAGCTGGGGAAGGAAAGTAGGGCGGATTTCCGAGTCGAGCTGTAAGAGTCTGTAACCTTGTAAATAAATTCTGCAACAGGAAGGATCACGTAAGAGAGGGCCGAGTCGCAAATCACCAGCATGCCACACCTACGATCTCCCGACTCCGGCGACTATCACAAGCTCCCCCGTCTTGGGCTGCCTCCTGGTGGGGGGAAGGGGACCATGTTGAGCAGATCGTATCATGCGTGCAGGAGTGACCATTATTGCATCCCATTCTATCCCTCAGGGCAACCATCAGGACAGTCAGAGTGATGCCTCAGATGATGGAAGATTCACCATCACATGGCTCATCGCCCGTGTTCATCCTGCAACATGGCCAGGCTATCGCGTAATCCCCAGGCCTGCTGGCAGTTCCATCCAGATTGCTTCTGACTCGAACAATCAGGGACGAGCCCTTGGCCACCGCCTTTGTCGGTGATCCCATTTCCAGGATTGTGTGATCTTCCGCGATAGCCGGCTTGTATGGCTCTGTAACGCGTGTACCACCCTGACAGTACGCACACGCACTCCAGCTCCAGCTCTCTCAGCCACCTTAGCAGTCACTTCCGTCCTCGAGCTGTAATTGAGCAGGTTACTAGACAAGAGGTTGACATCACCAGTGAGACATGCTTTCAATTGCGCTCGCAGAGAGTATTGTTCCACAAATACCACTTGAAGTGTTTATTATACCAAATACGTACTGCGACGCCCTGAGATAAGAGTGGAAAGATGCTTACCCCCACTTCAACCGGGCCGGGTCAATCTCCAAGCAAAGCAGGCGATCTGGTTTGAGCACGTTCTTTTTTTATTCTTCCTTTTTGCCCTTTTTTCTCTCCGCCCCCCTCTTTCCTATTATTATTTGGTAATTTTTCGTCCTTTTTTTTTTTTTTTTTACACTTTTTGCCCCAATATCTTCATCCCCACACAAAGTACCATAACTCTTTTGAATTTTTTTCTTTTCTTTTTTCCTTTTTTCTTTTTTTTTTTTCCTTTCCCTCCTTGCTCCGATCCGATAACCCCCTCTGTCAACCTCTTCTCCCCTCCCCCGAGCTCCCGTTTCATTCTTCTTCGCCCCTCCATTCCGGCGCTCATTCTTATATTCTCCTTCCCCCAGATTGTTCTCCAGATTTTTCCTCTCTCTTCCTTCTTTCGATCCTTGCCCTCGACCACGCATACTCGCATACTTCGACATTGCCAACCCAACGCCCCGTCCCTCGACTCGGGCTACTTCCCTTCTTCGGCACTTTCTCAATCTTGACGTCCACGCTCCCTTGATAAAAGGAAGGTCTTCTCCCAGCACCTGCTGTGAATCACCTTTTGCCCGACCGTCCAGCTGTCGCTCGCAAGATAACACAAACACGGTTTTCGTCATCCTTGCCGATTTCCGATATCATCTTTGTCAAAGACCGGCCTAGGGCATCTTAGTGTGGTGATCGTCTGTCGCCGAGCTAACCCTCCCTGGTCGCAAGAATCCTCCTCGCCTCGGCTTCTCGCCAACCGCGCCAACAGTCCCTTTTCGAGAACCCCTGCTCTTCTCGGAGCTCCAGAAGGACGAGCTTCACATGCCACAGCAGGCCTCTTCGGTGGATTTTTCTAATCTACTGAATCCCCAGAACAACACATCCACCACTGTGGACTCTTCCAACAGCCCTCCTACCCAGCCGAGTACGCAGTCTACAATGGCGACCGGCACAAGCTTACTACCCCCCATGATGAAGGGTGGCCGTCCTGCCGCAGAGGAACCTCGCCAGGATCTCCCCCGTCCGTACAAATGCCCACTATGTGAACGTGCTTTCCACCGTCTGGAACACCAGACGAGACACATCCGCACGCATACTGGAGAAAAGCCCCATGCTTGCCAGTTCCCCGGTTGCTCAAAGCGCTTCAGCCGCTCTGATGAGCTCACTCGCCACTCGCGAATCCATAACAATCCAAACTCAAGAAGAGGCAACAAGGCGCAGCACCTGGCTGCGGCGGCGGCCGCTGCTGCTGCCACTCATGATGGCACCGGAATGCCCAACAATGCTGGATCGATGATGCCTCCTCCCAGCAAACCGATCACTAGGTCTGCTCCGGTCTCCCAGGTTGGGTCTCCGGACGTTTCTCCCCCGCATTCGTTCAGCAACTATGCTCAACACATGCGCTCCAATCTGAGCCCCTACTCTCGCAACAATGATCGCGCAATCTCGGGAATGGACATCAATCTCCTTGCTACTGCCGCATCCCAAGTTGAGCGTGATGAAAGTTTCGGATTCCGCTCCGGTCAGCGCAACCACATGTTTGGTGGTCGCCACCCCACCAGAGGTGGACTGCCCTCTCTTTCGGCCTATGCACTTGGCCAGAGCATGAGCCGCTCGCACTCGCACGAGGAGGAGGACTCCTACGGATCACATCGCGTCAAGCGTTCAAGACCCAACTCGCCCAACTCTACTGCTCCTTCCTCCCCTACCTTTTCCCATGACTCACTCTCCCCCACGCCCGACCACACGCCGTTGGCTACACCCGCCCATTCACCACGGTTGAAGCCTCTGAATGCAAACGAGTTGCACTTGCCTTCGATTCGTCACTTGTCGATTCACCACACCCCGGCGCTCGCCCCAATGGAACCCCAGGCCGATGGCCCAAATTACTACAACCCCAACCAGGCTCAGGTTGGACCAAGCATCAGTGACATCATGTCTCGACCTGAAGGTGCCCAGCGCAAACTTCCTATACCGCAGGTTCCTAAAATGGCAGTTCAGGATCTGTTAAATAACAGCGGATTCTCTTCTGTCTCTTCGTCGACGGCCAACTCAGTCGCCGGTGGTGACTTGGCCGATCGGTTCTAATTGTGCGACCGGATCGCTAAATAATTTCGCTCTCAAAAAAAAACTTCGTTTTCTTCATGCGCGCTACGAAAGATATAGACCACTGTGCATTTCTTGTTTTCTTCAAGGGCATCGTCGGTGTCATGGACTGAGGTTGCTTTGATTTTTTTTCTTCTTTTTTTTTCCCCCTTGTTTGATTACACTATTTTGCGAAGGCGTTGCCCATATAGACGGATGGAGTATCCCTTTTGTTCCACAAACTTCTGTTTCTTACGCTTTTCAATTCTCTTCTCTATACCTTATACTTTATATGATACTTTTGAGAACCTCTCCAATCGGAACATGCTCTTCAGCTGTTTACTATGTTTTGTTGAGGTTAATCCTCATAATACAAATACAAACCACAAATATACTACTATCACCCAGAGGTCTCCCTGAACAGTGTAGCGTCCAAACTTTACCCATACTTTACATGACATCAATACTATCAAAACACTCATCAAAAGCTTACTAATTAAAAGTTCAACTTTTTCCCCAAAATGTCGTCAACATGATTACAACTTTGTGTATTCAAGTTCGAGATTTGGAGTAAAACACCTAGTCCCCACATGATAAGTATTTCTTTCAATGCAAGATCGCGGGGAGGCACGGAGTATTATTTACCCCTTGCTAATAAATCTACCGTATAATGTTTCATCTTCTATATGAGGTCATTTGTTCTACGGCCCATCTACCCGGGGAAATCATCCATAGTTTCCAGCTTAACTAGTTAGCATCGAGAGGACCGGGCCTTGAGTATTCGCCTACTACCAAACCATAGCGAGTGGGTATTTCAAAGGTCAAAAAGAACGAACGTTGTCATTCATACAGTTGGGTATAAGCAAGCGCCTTTGCACCTGTGCGGGCGCATTGATCAGAAGGCAAGGTTCGGAATGTCTGCCGGGTAACACATGGCAGACTTGGTCAGTCGGGCGGTCATTAATAGGATAGAATGAAGGAGTATGTCTATGTACAATGTATGTATGCATGTAATGTCGTGTAGGTAGTTCAATTCGATTCCAACCAACACACCAACACACCAACCAAACACCATCCGCCCGTGCATCCATCTATGTCTCCCCAGTCCGATATCGGGTCATTTTTCAAGAATGGGAATAAGAACAGGACGCGATGGTGTTCGGAAATATACACGGAGGAAGGAAACCTGCTTCAGATTCGAAAGAGAGAGGGAGGGGTAAGGGCGAAAACAGAAAAAAGGCAGGGGATATAGAGAGAATAATAATCTGCTGGAAAGGATGAAATGAGGACAAAAGAAGAGAGAAATGCAACCTCCGAACCCAAGACACCGTAGCCGTGACCGTGACCGTGACCGTGACAATGACTTATGAGAAGACCCGTACACATGAATCTGCACTTCCTGTTGCAATGACACATCTGAACGAAGGTTTGGCGGCAGCATCCTTTTTGGGTGCGCCGTCTGGTTTGTCGGCAGCAGGGTCGGGGTTGTCACTGCCGTTAGTGATGGGTGCCCATCGAATACAACTGACGAAGTGCCCGTGGGCGTTATCGATTGTCTTGACCAGTCTTCCCTCCTGGGAGAGGTCCCAGCATCTTATCGTTTTGTCGTCGGCAACACTGAAAAGATATTTCCCACCAGGGTGGAACAGCAGGCCTCGCACCCAGTTGTCGTGGCCAACTAAAGTCTTAATCAGTCTTCCCCTCGCTTCCCAGAGCTTGATGGTTTTATCTCTGGCCCCTGTGGCGATGAACTCGCAGGAACTAGTCGCAGGAGGCGGTTTCTTTAGCCCAGCTAACGTAGCTAGATGTTCGTAACTTGCTGGAGGCGCAAAAACACAGCACTCAATAAAGTTCTCGTGGCCTAATAATGCGGCTTTCGGTTCGGCCGACGAAACCTCCCACACCGTTATTGCCTGATCTCGACCACCGGACACTAGCCACTTCCCGTCAAAGGAAGGTGCCACATCCAGAATCCAGGATTCGGTCGAGGACTTTATCACCTTCACGCAGAACCCCGTGAGTACATCCCATATCCGCAGCGTTCCATCTCGACTGGCGGACACAAGGTGGTTTTCGTTCGTTGTTAGAAAGCGCACCGCTGAAACTGAGTGGTCATGACCAGATAACGTTCTGATGTTGGCGTAGTCCTTGCTTGGATCCCATAGTTTGATTGTAAGGTCGCTAGAACAGGAGGCCAACAGTGTGTTTCCTTTTTGTCCACCATAATCAAGACCCGAGACGCTTCTTATATGTCCCTTCAGAGTCCGCTCTAGCTCTCCAAGCTCCCAATCCCAGACTTTGATTGTACAATCTTCGGAGCCGGAAGCGAGTGATGTGAATACCGGGTGAAACGCGACACACGTGATGCCACTTCGGTGAGATTCAAATGTATGTGATGGCGACGGTTTAGGGAGCCAATTGACCGGGTCTTGATTCTTTGAGCGGGCTGCTGAAGGTGTGGCATCAAGCTCGGCTTGAAGACTGCTGACTTTGTTCTCTAAATCGGTTATCTGTATTGCCAGTCAACAATCGCGTTTCTCAATGTATGTGACCAATGCGTCAAGATTTACCTTTCTCTGCAATCTAGCGATTCCGGTCCATTTTTTTTCTAATAGCCCCTCGTATCTCTTGCGTGTTCCTTCATCAAAACTGTCGCCAACTTGAAGTTCTTCGCGTACCGTTTCGGAGCTCTGGGATGCGTTTATTGCAGCAAGGTATGCGACCATAGCCTTGTGCCTAGTTGTGCATGTTCAGTAAGAGACCAATCGCCATAGAAGCCAGAGCCACTCACAGTTCTCCCGCTTGCCCAGCTGTCAATATTTGGCTCATGGCGGTTGTGTGTACAGAAATTGGGAGGGGGTTCGATATAAAGTGGGCAGCTGTTTACTGGCAGCGGAGGCCGCACAAAGTCACGGGATCGAACAACTAGACCTGCAGTGTTCGTAATATGCAATGAAAAGAATCATCAAGACATGCGAATGGGTATAGAAGGCAACTGGGGGTTGAAGCCAGACCACAGCAAACGCCGCGGAGAGCCCCTCAAGATCGAGCGGTACCAGGTCACGTGGGGTAAATACGGCAGCAAGCTCACCGCCTTGGGTATCACTATCCACACATTGCGTTGAGTCTCTACAGGCAGTTCGCTATAGGTGAGTTTATTATAGTTTAATTTCTATTCTCGCTGCTGTCAAAGCACGTTTCAAAATCGGGGATTTCCGCAACCGCGATTCATGATTAATTGTCCCTAATTCGAGAATCAGCCCTAAGTCACGCCTTCCCCTCATTTGCTCATTTCATCTCGCATTTGGCATCGGGCTTCATCCAGTGGTATTCACTCCGACTCTTCCACCCTTTATCCGACTTTCAACCGCTTCTTCCCCGCCCACGGCCTGCTCATACTGGATGCTCTCCAAATCCAACCATGGCCGTTGACTCGCTCGATCTCATCTCGGCCCTCGTAGTTGATGCAGTCGTTCGCTTCGATTAGGCATGTCTGCTAAACAAACCTATCTCGGCATCGGAATAAGAAAAAGCAAAAAAAAACGGACGGACCAAGAAGGTCGCGCATATCTGCTTGCTTTGCGGCCAACGCCATCAGTGTCAAGAGAGGTAATGAGCTGGCCCTCCCTCCGCATCACTCCA